GAATGGATGTGGCGCATCGATTAGTGAGCCCATTGAGGGTATGGATGGGACGGGAACACCTGTCGTCGTTACTAAGTTGGAAAGAGGCGGCTGGGTGAGTGAAGCCGAGGCGTGGGGAGGTGGCATTCTCAGAACAGCCAAGAGCTGTCCTAATTTAAACGAGGCAAAGGCGAGCGAAGAGAAGGACAGCAACAAGGGTGCAGGCGGAGACACGGAGAAGGAGGTCATCAAAAAGCTCCAGGATTTGGTAAATGAAGGACCAGATAATGAAGCGTCAAGTCCCAAGGACGAGTCAGACTCACCACCAAAGGCAGAAGAAATGCTCAAGAGCGATCCCGCGCACTTCACCCTCTTACACTATCGCATCCGAGATTTCGGCCACGGATGGCCGTTACAACAGATCAAAGGCATGAAGGGTAGTAAAAAGGATCGCATGTTCGACGCCACGGATATCATCACTGAATGGTTCAATATTCATAGTTTGTCTGAGCCTGAGGTGCCCGTGGAAGAGAAGATGGAGGCTGTCGAGGATGCAGAGGCTGAAGATGATATGGACGCTGTGGAGGAAGAAGAGTTGGAAGCTATTGATGTTGATGCTGCGCCGACACAGGATGGTGAGAAGAAGAAGAAGGTCAAGCAGAGCTTAGAGGAGGTACATGACGAGCTGTAAACCCCCTGGATTGGGCGCAGTGTGCTGTGAAAGGTGACCTTATTCCACAGCACGAAATTTCGAGGTCTCTCATTCTGAACTGTGCACCTAACCGACATTTTTGACTAGGGCCGACTATCGTCACAACAGCGCTGTCAATCAGTGTCAATCATAAATTTGTCTCTCAAGATCAGTGTCAAGAAGTCCCTCAGAATTCGTACCTGCCTCCTCAAAGATGCGAGGCTTTCTTTGCTATCGATATGTGACCGCAATGGTCATTTGAAAGTTCAGCTGTCGTCAAGGGTTGAGACGTGGGCACCCCGTTGTACAGCCTTGGTTTCTCGCCGCATCTAGCACGATAACAGCGGTCATTTCTGAAAATCTCCGTGTCCTACTGATTGTCCTCATGATCGTCAAAGATGGCAGAGTCAAGCTGACATCAACGTTCAGATTTAGAACTTTAAAGATCTCGATGGCAAGATGAAGCTCGTCAAGATCGTGGGATATCTATTGTTGATGATCTTGACTTGGTTACTTTGGTAAAGGAATTGATGCTGTAGTCCCTGGAAGCCAGAGAGATGCTTGGTGATCGGCTATCAGTATGATCTAATATGTTGTACTTGGAGTCGAGGGAAACTTTTGGAGGGTAGATGAGGAAGCTAACATGCATCTATCATGAACGTAAAATCTTCTCAAAGGCAGGTGAGTGCTATTGCTGTCTTGAGAAGTCGCGAAGTCAGAAATAACGTCCCCACGTGGCTCTGCTCGTTCTTGCTCTTTGAGTTGGACCTAGCAAGGGCCTGGATTGGAACGAAGCTTTGAGCAGTTGTATGTGGCTTATTCGCATCCATCATAGGGCGATATGCTGCGAAGTGGGATCCAGGTCAACCTATGTAAATGGACCTGCAACCTGACAGGCGCGTTCCTTGATTTAGGCTGTCTGTTTGCGCAAGTGGTACTTCTTATAGCAAGCGTTGCGAAGGCTATGAGTAGAAACTCTATTTTGATCGTAAACACACTACGTATTCTATACATAAGATGCTGGTCGGTGCTCTCCCTCCCGCACCCTGTCAATCATAAGTGATCCAGACAGATGAGCCCGGGATTGTCCGGGTTACAGTGATCTAATTGACTTGTAAAGTGTACGTCCATGACTCTACGCAATTCCAACCAGGGCAACACATACCTGACTGCTCGAGATGAATAGAATACGGCGCATGGCAGAATTTCGCGGTAGGTTTCGATTTTCAAGAGAAGCAAGGCCGGTATTCTCTTGGACGAGGATGCGAGGCTGAAGAGGAGCAATACTACTTTCGGGCCTTTTTCCAAAAACACACCGAGCAGTTTTGAACAATTGCGAATGTCTTGCCAAAGGAGAGTAGTCAGAAAAGGCGCGTTCATGAAGGCATCAAAACCGATATGATCGCCTGGCGAGATGAAGCGCAGGAGAGAGTTTCCAATTTGTTCATTCGCAAATGCACGGCTGCCGTGTGCAAAGGATGACAAGAATGGTCGCGTCATGGTTTGAAGCGTTAGCGATGCTACGAGCACAAGCTCATCACTGGAACTGGAGTCCTCGATCTTGGCGCAAGCTCATCAAAGCGGCAGTTGATTGACGCCGGTTGCTAAGCGGACCTACACGCTCGGTACGGCAAAGCTGAGGTTGATGAATCGGTTGTTCTTGTTGGATTTCTCAACGACGCCATTCGCTGAGCCACAGGTTCCCACGACCGTGTGATTGGGATTCATCACGGCGTTCGCGGTCTTGAAGCAAGGCGCGTGTAGATAGATCCGTCGTAGCGCCAAAATGCACTTTTAGATGCAGGATGATGGCGAGACCAAACAAACAGGTCGAGTTTGGAGGTGAGGTGAAGAAGTTGGCGCAAGAAAAGATCCCGTCGTTGGCCGCCGATCGAAGCCACATCTCGGACCACGTGTCCACGTCTCCTCTTTCCTCCCACCACAACACCAATCCTGAATCTTCACTCCCAATTCCCCCACACCATCAATAGCCTTCGTGCATCTGCTGCACCACTGATGCACACTATACCGAGCCTTCTAGTCACTGGTAATTGGTGAATACCTAGGATGGCAGAAGCAGTGTGATGCCGAGAAAGGCTCGCGGAAGCTTGTATGACGATCTCCTTTTCCACTGCTTGACTCTTTGCCTTCCTTTTTCTCGTGGGTCTTTCCTTTGCTTGATAAGATGATTGGACATGTCGAAGACTACTCCAAGGCTTTTGTTACCGCTTGCGAGCCACTAACATCGATAACCCAACGCCAAAATCTTACATCGATCTTGCACATGTCCGATCCTGCGAGGCCATGTTTTATGTTGTTGGAGGCTTTCTTCATTCGTGATTCCACGTCCACGAGGTTGCGAGAAGAAGTTTATACGCAGGATAACCCCACGCGCCTTTAAGGCACGGCTGCGCCTCTTACGTTCTCGTTACCTTGCTACCCATTCGGCCAGTGATCCACGTTGACTGTTCCGGACCTAGGTCTTCTCCCGCGCTCCCGTACTTTCGCTATCCGATATCATCTTTCTCGTCGTCATCCACGGTGAGTCCCGAGATTATGGGAGCGCGAGGAAAGTGAGGAGGATATCTCTGGAAGGTATGCCTAGCTTCCAAGCTATCGTTCACCCCTCTCAACACGCTGAACGTCCGGCAGCCTTGACCGGCGCTGGAGATAAATTAGGACGACGGCTCCTGTATACTTACCGCTGCGGCACGGTGTATTGATTGCACGGAGCATCGTGGCTTTCCACGCTCGAGGGCCTTACTTCAGAAAGTGACTGGAATATCCTGAAGCGAGGCTGATGCAAGGGGGTAAGCCAACATCTGTTCAGTGTTGATCATAGTACCGCGTGCCGATTACTTGGCTTTCGAAGTGATGCGCTTCGAGTTGGTGGATATTCGAGGGTGGCTGTTGTGTTATAGGTAATGATTGAAATCACACCTTCGCCCGCACCTAAATTTCTTTCAGTGTTATAATATTTTCACCACGTGGTCGACCATTACATACTTAGTACTTCTTCTCTAGATATTGCAATTCGTGTTTCCTCCTCCGCACACTCCTCCTCAACGACAAGATGACCATCATTTACGCGGCTGTGACAGCCGTCGTAAACCCACCTGGCGCTGAGCCTTTCATAACCCAAGACCAGCTATGGCAGGCTTTGGAACTCAAACGCATGTCAGTAACAACGGAAGCGACACTTATCATCCATCCTAACTGACATTGCACCAGTCAGCCACAACGTTTTCTCGCCGTCATCGACACCTGTGAAGTGCTGGAGAACAGCAATGACACGATTCTTCGAGAGGTCAAGTTCAAAGATGGTAGGCTGTCTCACGTCGAGGCCGTCCATCAAAGCACTGTTGACGCCATCAGGTGGTGGTAAGTTTGCAGCACCGCTCGTCGGCAAGACCGTTCAGGAGCGTGTCTCCCATCACGCGCCAGTCTCGGTATGTAGCCACCTTTTGGCTGCCCAGCATTTCCACTCACATGTGCAGTCATCGTCTGGAGCAGGTGTAGAGATATTCAATGTCATCGGCAACGCAAGCCGTGTGCTGAACATCATCTCAATCGGCGCAAATCCAGGAGAGATGTACCTCACATTCACGTTTGAATGGGACCATCCAGAAATCGAGAAAGGCAGCTCTGAGGAGATTGCGAAGCAGAAACAGTACCAAACCAGTGCGCCGGCTGGCCTCGCAGGCACCCTTGGAAAGATACGAGAGATGGTCAAAGCTGGCGAGTTGGGCGGGTCAGTCGTGTCGTCTGAGTTGACGCCGCCTAATTCGCCAGATGGCTCCGTGACCGCCCCTGTGATTGCTAGTGAGAAGTCGCGGAGCTGGTTTCCCAGTCGATGGAGCTGGCTCAGGCTCAAGGCGGTTCAGAGATAATCACTATAAACTGAAGGATTTGGCTTGGGAGAATGATGACCCGGCTGTACGATAATGGACAAGCTCTAATGCCACACGAGACCGTCTTCTCAATACCAGATTGTCGTTCCCATTGGCAGGGATCTATGGTCGCTGTAAGATTTGTCGCTTCTTTACTTACATGGCCAAAAAATTCTATACACAAACAGAACTTCCAATGAACCCAAGTGATTTTCTCCGTCAGCTTGTTGAGATGTTCTCTTCTTCGCCACAATCCGTCTTCACTTGAGTCCTTCTTTCTATACCACTCAGTGACCTTGCATTTTCGCACAGACCAGGCATATCTTATATATGCGCAGGCGTGATGGAACCTGGAAAGTTGAACGCATGCACACTCTTTGTCCAGCAGGCTGCAGATTGTAATTATTAATGTCCTAGTCAACGTTTAGTCAGACCATCAAGGCACTTTGGCGGAGTGGTTAACGCGTTGGCCTGCTAAGCCAATTCCTTCGGGAGCGAGTGTTCGAATCACTCAGGTGTCGCGTACAACAGTTTTCTTTTTGTTTTTTGTCTCACCTTCTAAGCGCCAAGTAGTGCACGCATGTGAAGAAGACGCATTCTTCTATCGCATTATCAATAATTGTTCGTTCTTGGGCTCGGGATCCGTTGCTCTGGCTTAGCTCTGGCTTGACCGTTTTCTTGCGTCATATTTCATTTGAACAAAAGAATATTTGGTGATAACGATTAACAGAGATAGGCATCTTTAAGTTGATAATGTATGAAACGTCTCATACATGAAATTTTGTCCCTCGTGAATCGTGATCGTGGTAGAGATCGTCTAGCTGTACACCACCGATTCGCTGCAGATGTCCATCGTATAAAAGTGCGAACCTAGACTGGTATTGCCCCTATTTTCCTATTTATCCTAATAGGGTATAAAACCTGCGTCATAGACTTTGTCAGCCCACCGCGACTCGCGATTTCCACGCGTTCCTGGAATCCTGGATCTCTTTTTTCGCATTTCCCTTTTCCCTCTTACCAACGTTTATCTTCATGTTTTCGAGCTGTTGTCGCAGAACCTCAATCTCGTCTCTTGTAGCACAAGCTCCCAGATCGTTACTGCAACCAATAAGAATATTACCTTCCAATCGAAATTCCCTTCCCGCACTCCTCCCATCACTAATTGACAATTCACGAAGCACTGCAAGCTATTCCACGAATCGTCATCCCCGGCCTAAAAAGATGTCGAAACATGAACTCCCTGCTGAGCAAATCCATCCCTCGACAAAACGAGCGAAACAGATCGATGCTCATCCACCCTACGAAGAATTGAAGTCCCTCATCGAAAGTGGAGGCAAGAAAGAGCAAGGCACAGGCGGTAAGAATGTCATACACTGGTTTCGCAATCAAGATTTGCGGATCTATGATAACAAAGCGCTTCACGCTGCATCTCAGGTCTCTAAGGAGAATGGAAAGAATTTGATTTGCATTTATATGTATTGCCTAGAAGAGATAGAGTGGCATGGTGTAGGTTCTGCGCGACTCGATTTCTTGTTGAGGAATTTTGAGTGTCTGAAGCAGGAGTTGGGCGAATTAGATATACCATTTGCAATCTTGCACGTCAAGCAGCGATGCGATATTGTTGCTAAACTGGCTGATTTCGCGAAGGAACACGATGCGCAACGAGTTTTCGCAAATTTTGAGTACGAGGTTGATGAAGTGCGACGGGATATCAGAGTTGCAGAGGCTGCGAACGGAGCGAATTGGAGCTTTGAGCTGCATCATGATCAGACCATCATGGAACCGGGAATGCTTACTACTGGCAGTGGTAAGCCTATGAAGGTATTTACACCATACCACAATGCTTGGCTACAAGAAATCAAGGCAGAGCCATCTTTGCTAGACGTTGTGCCGGCTCCAGAGAAGAACGATAAAAGTGCAAGAAAGGATTTAAGCGACCTCTTCGAAACAAAGGTCCCCGAAGCTCCCAAGGGGGAAAAGATGGACAGAGAAGAGCAAGAAAGGATCCGCAAGTTCTGGCCAGCAGGCCACGACGAGGCTGTGAAAAGGATGCGCGAATTCATTTCGGAAAACTTGAATGACTATGCCGCCACAAGATCGAATCCAGCAGAGGACTCTACGTCTAGGATGTCGGCATACTTCAACGCAGGCGTTTACTCGATGCGAGAAGCCCTTCAAGAAATCAAGAAACACAACAAGGGTTCCACGGATTTCAGCTCTTCAGGTGCCAAAAAAGGTGTTTACGCCTGGGTCCGTGAGATTGTCTTCCGGGAGCTTTATAGGCAGACAATGGCATACACGCCACACACAGCAATGAACATGCCGCAGAACCTGAAGTTCGACTTCGTGGAGTGGGAAGACGACGAGGAAGGGTATAAGAGGTGGGAAGAGGGTACACTGGGTGTACCTTTTGTTGATGCGGGAATGAGACAGATTAAGCATGAGGCCTGGATGCACAATCGGTTGAGGATGAATGTGTCGAGCTATCTGTATTGCAATCTCCTCATCGATTATCGGAGAGGAGAGCGATACTTTGCTGAGACCTTGATTGATTGGGATCTGAGCAATAATACGCAGGTGAGTTCTGACCCCGACTTGACTCGAAGTCTCTCGTTTCGGCGTCAACGGCGATGAATAAGGTGCACATCTTCTGGCATATGTCGCAAGAAGGCTATCGATGTGGATCTTCTTGAGGAGATGATACCACGTGGTGCGAAGATCTAACGAGCTCCAGGGATGGGAACCAAGCTATACCGTCTTCAACCCCGTCAGCCAGGCCGAGAAGAACGATCCGAATGGTGACTACATCAGAAGATGGGTTCCTGAGTTGAAGGATGTCAGTGGCAAAGCCATTTTCGATCCATACCACCGATTGAGCAAGGAAGAGTTTAAAAAGCTTGGGTACCCCGAGCCATACGTCGATTGGAATGAGACCAAAGCTCGATGTTTGGAGCGGTATAAGAGCGACATGAAGGACGCTGAACCATAGGCTCATTTGCAAGCAGAGGTCACGCTTGCCTAAGTTAACAAAGGGTTGTCAACTCGTTGCTTCACAAATAGTTGATATGGAGATAGTTACGAGGAAAGATCAATGGAGGCAATGTCTACCTGAGCATGAGACCAACTTCCAAATTTAAAACCTTGCATCACGATGTGGTAAAATTTGACAGTCCAATTGTTTTGAACATAACCTTTTCAGACGTCTGCCAAACTGTTATCGAAGTCGAGCTGTCACCCACAAAAGAGTAAGGGCCGAGTCGACTTCCTTCAACGTCAGCACGCAAAGTGAGCAGGGTTCGTCACTGGTAATCGTTGTTCTTCCTTATCCAATATTGTATTTGACAATTTCGGAGTTTCAGCAACGAAAGCCCAACCAGCCAGCTCACTGAAACTGACCCAGTGTCACTCAGATATAGCAGCTATGAGTCCCGTGGTACTTGAAAACATTCCTGCATGGTAAGCGATAAACCTTTCAGGAGTTGAGTGCGTGGGCTCAATAACAGGATCAATAAGAGGTTGCTATGAGTCCGCCGCGTAAGCATTCTAAGCAATCGAGAAACGTATTCACGATTGCGAACCCAGACGAAACTAGCGTGCCATGATAACGGGAGTATTTCTTACATACATGTCGCTGATGTTGTTTCCATGGACTACAGGCGATAGAAGTAGAGAAAATGTCCAAGAACAAGGTCCGTTCATGTTGTTATTGAAAAGAGTCGGTGGTGGTAAGGATTCGCATGTTGAAAGATGTTGGCAATACGGCAATATTGCAGCATCGTCCATCAGGAAATTGCGGCATCTTTGTTGATGAAGGAGATTGCGCGATCGACGCGTAGTCAGAGAGGTATCTCCTCGAGATCTACTTGTGACAATCATGGTTGCGTCTCGTTCGGCCTTTGAGGCTGTGGAACGATGATAATTCCGATGTTTGGTTGCAGGGCAGCTGAGCTTTGGCAGGCAGTGGTCATATACGATGAGCTCCATGATCTTTCGCGGACTCGGAATGATTCTCTGCATCGTCTAGTCTGTTACTAAGACTACATATCCATGTCGTCGCGCCTGGTAGCCTCGACCCTGATTATCAGGATCCTCCTCCTTCCTCCTCTTATTCCCATAATCGAACAGTTCTCACGGAGAACTCCGAGCGAGCCCCGAGCGAAGACCTCAAGCTCCAAACGCACGTTCGCACCGAGGCCGTTCATTCCACGGATGCACGTGCAAGACGGAGACCAAAGTCAGGTCCGTGTTTCAAGTGAACTTGTGGAGTCACGTCCGCGGCACGCTCCGTTGAACACCAACCGTTGGAGCTGATATAAGCAAATCTAGGCCATGGGTTGGAAGCATTATTGCCCCCCCCAAAAGCAAATTCTTGAACGTCATGACATTTCCTGGAGTCTCGAGCCTGAGCCCCGAACCATTACATACCAGCGAGACTGTTAGGTAGCGAGACTCTGACACTATGGTCCATCTCCATTTGCATTCAAAGTAAGAGCCCTAAGCACACTTTGCGCATTGGAGAAGGGAAGGTCCAGGCCCGGCTGGGGTCTTCCGAGCAAATGAGAATGCCAAAAATTAAAATGGTGAAGATTAAGCCAAGCCGGGGACAATTCACATCACCCGAGCAGTCGGGTCAACTCGTCCCCCAGCGGCAACAATAAATTCTGAGATCGGCCCGGATCCGAGGTTGTTAAGCCGGCTGCCGGAGGGAAAGAATTTTCGATCAATTAAATATTCCATCACTATTAAGACCCACCTCCACTCCGGTCATGCCGATCATGTCTACACGGCCGACACGGGTCTCACAGGTGGCTGAGTTCCATTACTCGTTAAGTCGTTCCGCAAGGTTGGATCTCTTTTTGATTGGCCCTAATTGAGCATCATGGACCATGGAGTTTCATTGGTTGCTCCTCGCTACTATATACCGGAGGGGATCTGGGCTTGCTGGTGCTTGTCCTCCACGTTCTGTAAGGTAGATACTGCGAGGCAAAGCATACTTGTCGTGCATCAGACCTCGGAGAGGTTCATCTCAGGCTACAGCGGGCGGTCAGAGCCTTGTCCAGGATAAGGACACCGCAACAATCGTGCTGGCAGCGCCTTTTCGAGGTCTTCAATGAGCTTCTCGCATCCTTGGACCAGTATAGCCGTCATTTCCTACACGGTTTCATCTGAGACGGGGCCGCTCAAAACTCGTGGAATGCAAATGAAAAGTCCGGGGCTCGGCTAATTCGGAGCTTGCGTGAACTTTGATTGTGGCTTGCAATCTTCAATCGGTTCGTTCCGAGATTGGGGTACATATTTCAGGGACCAGCTCGCAAGGTAGGACGCTGTAGGGCTTTCCAGGGCGTGTGCTGTGGTCTCCAAGGCGACAGCTGAGATGTCAGCTGAAAATCATTGACCAGGTCAGCAGAGCTTCAAATTGCTGGTGAACTCCATGGGAAGATCCCTGAAGAGCGATTAGCAGCCAGTGTGTTTGTCTCGAGACCACAATAGTCTTTTTCTGGTAGCGATAATCTCTGTTCGA